TAATCTGGTTGCGTTCACTCGCAGATGCCGACGCAGTTTCCTTTTCTATTCCAAATCACTTGATTGCACTTCGCCAACAACGTGACGTAAACGCCCGGGGGTGTAATATAAGGGATTACACGTTTATGGCTGGCTTCTTTATTAGATGCGGAGCATCTTATACTCGCGCCTTGTAGTGCGCCGTCCGCGCCGTCCGCACCGCTTCTCGAACATTCGACAGCTGACGCGCGCGCATGCGCCGTCGCCCACTCTTCCACCATCTGTGCATCCCTTCCTCCTCTACACACCGCGCGCGCTTCACTCCTCCACCATCTGTGCACCCTTCCTCCTCTACACACCGCGTTCGACATCTACAATTCTCCTGATTCTCCAGTGGACGCGCATGTGGCGTCGCGCTTCGAGAACATTCAACAGCTGACAGTGCATGCGCCGTCGTGCTGTATATATACTCAAGGTCGGCGCTCGCTTGCTCAGTTGCCGCTCGTCGGTTGGTTTGTACGGCGCGTCGACGTCCAAGGTCGCGGTGAAATGAATTCCAACGAATCCACAAACACAATGATCGACGTCCCTTCGACCAGCGCCGCCCTTTCGCATACGTGTGTACGTGTTCACTCATTTAACACCCCCTCCTACAACCACGTTAACCAATTTAGCCATCGACCCAAGTAAGTCGCAATTTAACACCCCATTTCACAACCACGTTAACCAATTTAGCCATCGACCCAAGTAAGTCGCACTTTAACACCCCGTTAACCAATTATATGGTCCGCATCCTCCTCAGTGTTCCCCCGAGGGAAGCTGCGGGCAATTTTTTTTCGAAACAAAGCAGTCTCTCGTCGTCCTTTCTTCGCCGGATATGCAACTTAGACCAATGGTATATGTGCAAACTCTTTGACACTGAGTGTGGGCAGCTCTTGCTGCTTGGTATGTGTGGCCATTGGTGGTTGTAGTAGCTTTCGAGTTCCTGTGTGACTGCAACTGCGACGCGATGGCTGTAAAGCCTTTCTGTATTTTATAGGTACGCGTCACACTTCTTTGTGCATGGGCATCTGAAAAACGTTTTCTTTTTCTTTAGAGCAGTCATGGTCCAGTCCATCCGTCCACGTGAGACGCAGACAGGTGACGAGGCCATTCGTGTGTCATCAGCTTGTCCCTTGCCAACTCCAACCAACATTACGTAGTTTATGTTTCAGCATTGCGTTGTACATGCATGTTCTTTCTTTCTTTCCTCCTTTCTTTTCTGTTCAGGGTATACTCCTAGATCGGCTGCTTTGTCTTTCTGTCTGCAATTTCACAATTTCTTTTCAATTTTGGAGACTCATACGGCGGAATAACAACAGTAATATATATTGATTTTCGAACACCTTACACAAACGTCCTTGTTTAACACGTAAGCTGAATTCGGTATTGAAAGATGACACGATAATCTCATAATAAATTTTAACAAACATCACTCTGCAGGTGGCATGCTTCTAAGTTCGGAAGGCTCACAGTTGACAAAAAATGTTTTGTTTCTCATATATTCTAGCAATGCGCTGCTTTCTATGCAATAAATTAGAGCTATTCTTTATCGAAATAATTTGTGATGGTTGCCAAGCTGACTGGGACATTTAGCACAGAATGAACCTACACTGAGTCGCCCAGTTCAGCCCCGTTGAAGCTTTCGGCATCTCACTCGATATTCACTATCTTCATAATCCAACCACCTTGTGAATGATCTCGCCTTTATCCCGCCGGATTTCTTCTCTCAAGAGGCGTGCAAAGTTTTTGCCTTAGTCACTATTCGCCCGACCACCACGAATGTTACTGTTCCAAAAGAGCGCACGGTTGATTGAGACTTGGGATCGGCGATGAAGATGTTAACACGCTATTCTGCAACAGCCGGCGTGTTCGTATCATTGAGTGATATTGGCACCCGACAGTGAACCAGGGGGCGCAATGAAGCTCTTTGGGCCGCCTCAGCATTGTTGGTACCGACCACCAGGGATACTAAGAAAATGGAACGCTCGCTCAACACATTGACACGCTGAAGTGTCAGTGCCCTTTTTGGCACGTTTGCAAAGAACGCTTCCTGGGCGCTTACATAATCAGCCGTGACCGCTTGCTCACAACTAAAAAAGAAAATGATATGCACGTGCAAGTTCGGTTTTGCTGCGTCTACATAGGCTACGCATTGGAAGACTCGGTTTTGCTGTGCCTACCCGCTAGGCTGTGTGTTCTGGCGCTGCCATCAGATCTCGTAAACTGCATTGCCGGGTGCCCATTATCAAATGTTTCCGCACAAATGCTATATCCAACGTCGCCTGTGGTACATGCAGCTTTGTTGTATGACGTCCTCGTGTAGCCTTCTCAGATGTCACACACTTTCCACACGTCTGGTCCCAGAAGTCTGAGCCAAGAGAATGCGTGATACCGACTCACGGCCTGAAACGCGAGATGTGGTGCATCGCTTTACGATTCTGCGTTTCTTTTCAAACGAGCTCTGCGTTTCAAAGAGGGAGTTACTCATAAGCGGAAGGAAGCTCATCTATTCGACTCCGGGAACGTCATGGGTCTGTAGATATACAATGCAACAGTGTCCGCTGCCTCTGCTGTACTCAGGCAGGAATTCCGCGCACAGGAAGCAGCCTTTTGACTGCGCATACTTTGAATACACAGTAGACTGTTTAGACAACGTGCGATATATAAGCCGACGCTCGTCACCATCGCGTTTCGTCGACATGTTTGTCGTCTGTGATTACGTTGAAACCGGACATTATTTTTAACTTCAAGAACTGCGCGAAAAAGAGACAAGAACCCGTGGTATAGGCACACGCACAAGTGCAGACTGATCTTTTTCTTCTTTTTGCTTGCAAGCTTGTGACAACGCATGAAGCAGGGTAAAGCTTTACGCAGTACAAGGCACTCGCCGGGGTGACTTTGTTAGCATGCGTCAGAGTTTGCCCATCAATCAGATGTTAGTCGAACGAACAGTTGCCTCGCTCGTCGGAAACATTTGAAGGTCGATATAAAATTTAATTATGGGCGTAAGCTTTCTAACTTGGTACACTTCCATGGGAATTATTTGCAATCTTCGTATTTTCGCGCCTAAACCCGGATATGATGAAATGCACTTGGGGCTCTGACCACCCGCGGTTCATCCGACTCAGGGGACGTTTTTTCGCCTTCGTCGAAATGTGACCGGGAATAGAACATGCACCCGCGTGCTTGGGAACGAAACGCCATTGACGTCAGGGTGCGTTACTCTCACATCAAAGCCCACACAAGTATATTGATGCATTCTAAAAATAAAATAAAACAACACTACTCTGGGCTTGCAGTGCGGGCATTGTGAGCGCAGGTAAATGGCACGCCTTCTGGTACGCGAAAGTTACTTGCACCCACCCCGTTTGTCACCTATATTCGATATAAATGGTTTTTTTATTTCTTCATTAAACGAATAATGTGGTGTCATTGCTTTAGCAGCATTTGCAGCTGTGAAAGCCAACTAGAAACGTTCATTGTACTCGCGCTGCAACAGCACAGTTCCTGACCGTCCACTTCTTTCGAAACAGATTGAACCCGGCAGCTAAACCCTTTTGCAGGTAGAATTTTGTTCAACAGCACTGGTCTTAGGCATGTCCTGCTTTTTCTTGTATTCGTGTGACGCGATTGTTCTGTCTTGATTTGTTAAATATGCAAACTTTGTCTTGTGCTTTTTGCTGCCTATTCCTGCTTGGCGGCTCATCCTTAAAGGCTATATCAGTACTTTATAAATAAATAAACAAATTACTGTCCGCAGTAGACGAGCCTATTAGCACCTCAACAGCGCGGCGTCACGTGATGCGAACAGAAACACAACCGCTTTTCAAGTTGAATTAATAAGGGCAGGGTTCTGTATGCATGGCGTCGCATAGGTGTCACTGATTGACCTGAGTCAACGGGAGGAGCGGTAGCCGACGCCGTACCGCTTCGCACTTCTCACCATTTTGCCGTCGTCATGACTGTCAGAACCAGGGTCGGCAGCAACGTGCCGCTCTACCGGTGACGTCGTACACGATTGATTGATTGATTTATGGGGTTTAACGTCCCAAAACCACTATTCGATTATGAGAGACGCCGTAGTGCAGGGCTCCGGAAATTTTGACCTCCTGGGTCGTACACGACGTATCTCTACGGGATATTGAGGCTCAAGTGAATTCTCCCGTCCATGGTCTCGTACATCTTGTTCTTCAAATATAACGCTAGCTTAACGTGCAGCGCAGGCGCCTTCAGAGCGCCCATCCTTGTGCTTGCTTCATTGGAGACGCGATGCATGACCTGCGTTGAAACATGTTGTACGCAAGCGGGACTTTACTGGCAGAAAACTGGCCTTGAATTCGATAACGAGGCATTCAATAACACCCCTGGGTGTTGTTCATCCTTCGTTGCCAACACGACTATGGCGGCATTTACGCGCTGGCTTCAAATCATTTGTGATTGTTCTCCTCCTCGCGCCCTTACTGTGACATTATTAGGTATATCGATATTATAAGTCTTTATCCGCTCATATCGACGTGTGTCCTCGTGATTTTATACGTTTTTGCGCATATCGAAGTGACTCTACAGGCTGATGACGTCGATGATACTGTTGTGATGACGTTTATCGCTCATGTTTGCCTCACACGTGTTTTGCTCGTCACCGGACGGTCACATCCTGCTTCTCACTCAATGGCGCGTCAGAGGAAAACTCGACGGAGGCGGTGCTCGAAGCCGTAATCACGGGCGAACGAAATGACGGGCTAGAGGCGATGACCAGTGATCGGACGTGAAAAAGAGAGAGGGGGGGAACGCAAAGAACCGCTCCGTCAAACGCACTGCGAGCTACCTGCCACAACTGCGCCGCTTTGCCATCGCGAGGCGTGTTTATTTTCATTGAAAAGAGAGCGACATACCTCTGGCAACCAGTTCTTCGCCCGCTCTCTCAGCCGGTGAGAGGAGTCACGTGACGAGCCCGCTCTCCCTGTTTGGGTGAAACGGTGCGATGAAGCGCTTCTTCTCAAAGAGCGCGCCGAGGAGGAATCCCGCGTGCGTTTTTTCGGCGCCCGCCGTCCGGCATTCTTGTACAGCAGTAGTGGCCGCCGCCGGTGGGTGCGTGGTGGCCGACGTCGAAAGCAGTCGGTGTGTGCTTCTCTGGATGTGCGTGCTCTACTCGATGCAATGGTGAAGCCGTGCTGCTGAATAGCTTCCTCGAGCAGTCAGTGTTGTCCACCGTGGCTAGCATGGTTGTGCGTCGACCGCCAAGATGATGAAGTGGAGGGTGCAAGGCAAGTCGGGCTGCTCCGCAAGGAAGAGCTCTACTAGCCGATCGGCCAAACGCCCCAACACCGAAGAGTGAGTGATCCCAGTTCTTTGAACACGCACCAGATTCCCGCTGTGACACCTTTGCAGCCTCGTCCAGGTTTGAGCACGTGTTGTTGCTTAGGTATATTTTCACTTCGTGAACCTGTCTTCGCAGGTTATCGCACTGTTCTGTGCGTGGACCTAAGCAAGAAAACGTGTGGTACCGTTAATCCACGGTGATGAAAAACAAAGGGAACGAGCTTCGAACTGAAAGAAGGTGTATAATCACGTTGACTTTCATTTCCACGAAAAAGAAAATGTCCCAGGCGAGCATATTTTCTTAACACGCCTGCAGCAACGATGCGTCTCACTTACATCCGAATTAACGTTCCTCGAGAAATCCGGGGGACGAGAGAGAAGGCTATCTTGTGTCATTAGAAGCACGCGCAAAGTCTGCGGCACGGAACACTAAAGCTGAGCAACGTGCTTATCACGTAACATGCTACGTCACGCTCTTGCCAGGGGTGGGGGTGGGGGGGAGGTTACATGTCGGGGGTTATCTGCACGCAGTGCACATTGGGGCGCGTGCCGTTTCGCGAGTTCCTCCGAAGAGGCCCCGACAGCCCCCCACGCTCCCTTTCGCAGCGCGCATGCTGGATGAACGGGGTGGGCGTTGCAGCCGGGTCGTACGCCCGCGCAGCAGAGTACAACAAGGAGCGAGGCATGCGTACTGGCGCTCTGCTTTCGCTTAATAAGCCTCGCCGCATTCACGCGTAGGAGAAGACGGCGCGGCTTGATAGTAGCGCGCGCTTCTCCCGTATGCAGGGGAGTCGCTTTTTCCACGCTGCGAGTAATTGATGTTGCCCGTCCGAAGGCGGTTCTGGCTGCTTGCGCTCAGTTGACTTGTCCTTGGAAGCGACGCGCGCAGTGTTCTCGAGTCTGTGCGAAGGAGGCTGCTGTGTCGTCGCCGTGTGTACTTGGGCGGTAGAAATGAAAGTTTTGTGGAAACGCACCAAAAAAAAAAAAAAAAAAACAGAAGAGGCTGACAAGGACAGCGCTTCTGTCCGTCTTTTTTTTTTTTTGTATGCTTCAACAAAATTTTCAGCTATGAACGTAATCCAGCTGGTCCAACCTGCCATTTTGGGTGGTAGCCTTGTTCGCTGTAACTCGACACTGACTCGAACTCGCGGCACTCTGTCAGCTTATCTGCGATTGTCCAGAACTTTGATGTTTAACCGGGGGGGAAGCACCCTAAAAACTCCAAGCATTATACAATCAAAAGCCATGCTGCGTTACGCAAACCTCCGATAGCATGCTAGGACCAGCCATCGCGGGGTGACGCTAACATATCGCTCTGATACTTACCCCCGTATTCACAAACGCTCCTCGACTCGACTTCTTTCACTTGACAGAGCTGAGCACTGCGCCACCACTCATCTGAAAATGACGCTGCGCTACTCAAGAATCACAGCAGATTATTGTTGATATGCAGTGACTTGCCGTGCTCCAAGACGGCGCTCCAATCTGCTTTCTCAAGTGAAGGTGAGGCGTTGAGTGAAGGGACGTTCTAGAATACGGGGGTTAGCCGCTTGACGTCTGCGATGTATCGAATGCACTGGTTAAAATTACCGCAGTCCGTACCGAACATTCAGTGCACGTTAAGGATTCACAGGAGGCGAAAATAGAGCCCACCACTAATGTTGGAGAAACACCAGGGTACGCTGCTTTTTTCGTATGGATCATATGCGGCTCGCAAACATCTCGAAGGTGCACGGGCGCAACAATAATTATTTGTTCGTGTTACCTGTGCATTGTTATTTGATTAATACAAATTGTGCCCCGAATAAGTCAACAATTCGAACAGGGGAAGGCTACTTCGCTCTCCCCTGAATGTGGTGAAAACTGGTATAATGTAAGAGACTGTATTACTTGTAAAATCTTATTTTTTCTTTCTGTCGGAGAATGCCGTGCTTGAAGTGTGTGAAATAGTAGCGACAAATCCACTGACTATATCAACTCGAGTTACGTCGTGATCGACGTGTCACACCGCCTAGGATCGGTGCTCGCTGTTTTCGCTCTGAATACCTCTTGAATGGAATGGAAGCACTCTATTCGGGTCCGTCAGAGCGTGAATGCTGCATACATTATTGTTACCTCATATTTCGCATCGCATCCATCCCGCTCGCAAAGTCAAACCCAATTTCAGAGGTCGGCAAAGTGCAAGAATTCGTCTTTTGCCTATAGCGATGAATCAGATGACTTACCCAGCCGAATTTCTGCAGTTACACTGTCTTCGTTATTTCATTCATATCTGCTAACGTATATTTTTTCTCTTGATTTGGCTCTCCGATAATTACGTGCGAGCAGCAAATTTTCGAGTTTAGCCATCGTGGTGGTCTGATGGTTACTGTGCTCGACTGCTGACCCGAAGGTCCCCGTGTGCTCAGATTTGGGTGCGCGTTAAAGAACCCCAGGAGGTGAAAATTTCCAAAGCCGTCCACTACGGCGTCTCTCATAAACGTAAATGGTTTTGGGACGTAAACCCCACAAATCAATCAATCAATTCTGACCCGCAGGTCGAAGGATCGAATCGCGTCCGCCCGCGGGGGCCTCGTTTCCACGCAGGCAAAATGTTTGAGGCAGTTTTCTTAGATTTAGGTGGAGACCACCGAGTGGACGAACGTTTCGATCATGCGAACCGTACTCGATTCGAAAACTGCATGCTCGAATTTTCTCGAGTGTAGGACTACTGCAGAACACGAGGTGGATATTCAAATTCGAATATTCGAACAAGTGGCGCATTACGAGCGCTGTGTATTCTTGTTCTTAGCGTGAAGCTTCACTATAATACGTACCGCTCATCAAGGTTGCGACTGATGGCCCAACAAGGTTCCAGAGCGCCTATGCTTAAGCGCGTCCCGCGTTCACGACAGGGGTGGATTCAGCCACTCATTTTAGGGGGGGGGGGGGGGGGCGTCACCTCTATAGTAATACCGAAGAGGGGGGCGTGGTCATGACCAGTTTTCACTAGGATAAAAACCCCTTGTGTGTGTGTTCGCAGTGGTTTCACTCATTCGTAATAGTTGGTGATAGGAGGTGGATTACAAGCACTGAAGTGAGTGGGGGGAGGAGGGTTGCTATCACAGACATTGGATGGGGGGTGGTGATTGTCTCTATCGCCCCCCCCCCCCTATGAATCCGCCACTGGATTACGATTTTCAACTCGCACTGTGGCCACAAAGTTCAGCGAAAAGGGCTTTTTGAAAAGGGCAGAAAAAAAGCTCGGGAACTCGGCGATATCAGATGAGTCCCGGACAGTACTAACCCCCGTATTCACAAACGCTCCTCGACTCGACTTTGACCCGTCACTTGACAAAGTTGAGCACTGCGCCGCTGCTCGGCTGAAAATGACGCTGCGCTGTTTGAGAATCGCACCACATTATCGCTGATATGCAGTCACTTGCCTGGCCTAGCGAGAGCGCTTCCATCGGCTTTCTCAAGTGAAGCTGCAGCGTTGAGTGAAGGAACGTTCTAGAATACGGGGGTCAGTGTGTCAGGACGGCTGCGCATGAACGTGCGGAATCGCACAGCCGATGGTGAATATGTATACGCTACCGCTAAGTGCTGCGTACCCTGTGATTCAAGACGTCTTACTGTCATCACTGAGAAATACACGCGACTCGCGCTTCGTGATTGTTTTCAGCCTTGTATGCGACAGGAGTGGTTTTCTTTTCGCCGAACTTTATTCCGTGGCCTTTAATCTGCACCTTCTCGTTCTGTGGATAGATGCATTCACATAACCATGAGAATTGTTACCTGCGCTGAAAGGCTTCAAAATAGAAAAAAAAATACTGCGTGCAAGCATTACAGGGCATCGTGCTGCTCGATATATTTAAGAAAGATGGTCTTTTCCGCCTCAAGACGGACGTAAGTGCACATAAGAATAATTATTGCTCGAAAATGTCAAGCAGTTAATTTTCCTCCGTAATCATTTGTAACGGGTATATCACCAGAAGTATTTTTAATGTGCTGCAGCCCGATATGTCGTTTGATTCGTTTATCTTGAAAGAACAGCAAATGTCAACTTCCCGTTTTCCGACTTTTCAACACGTCCATCTTCGAGATTAGAGGACAGCGTTTATTCATATTCGCATACGGAAAATGTTGACGATATGGCATCGCATGTACATATACACAGGTCAATAGGTAACAAGTTTTATTTTGTATGAAATAAGTGATGTTTCTCCGAGTTCTTGTTCGAAAATTTCAATGATTACCTCAACGCTGCCGAAATTTAATTCAATTACGTTATTACTTTCGCGAAATTTTTTAAGACGTAAAACTACATTACAATCTATACAGTTCTCTGCTAGCAATATAATTTTTTAAAAGTTACTTCAACTATATCACGAGCTAGCTCGTGTAAACTTCAGGTTTGTCAGGCAGATGAACTTTTAGTTATATTTCTTTCCATATTCGGTCAATTAGTTTATGCCATAACAGGCACGTGGCGGTGGCCTCTGCGCAATGAGTCGCTCGCCTCAGCATTTCCAATGAAGTTGTGCATCCATACAGTCATAGTTAGAAACGGACATTAGTAAAAAGTAGTGAAAATACAGTGACCTCTCACTCGTACGAACGTAAGTTCAGCGAATACTTCGTAATAACGAACTTTCAGAAAATCCCGTCGTCGTTCTCCCGCCCTCACTTTTGAGGTCAGTTAATGAAGTTTTGCGCTCTGCAGCGCTGGCTTGGCCGATGCATCCCGCTCTCAAATCGTCCGTCCATTGGCGGCGGTGCAACATCGCTTGGGCATGCAACGCCGTCGAGGCAAAGCAGCCGCTTGCGGTAGACTAAAACGAGCCACGTGCGCTCCAGTACTTGCACAAAGCTATCACATTTAGATACTGTTTCCACTGTTCTTCCGAAAGAAGCAGAGCGCGACAAAGAAGTTGTAATGGCTGAGGCATGTTCCGATCCTGTATTTCTAGCCGAGGCTGTATACAATCTATTAGACAGTTGCGAGACTTAGTGTCACAGCAACAAGCTGC